AAAGCCAGTGAGAGAGCACCTCACAGTTGTTTGATCTGGTGAAGGTCATAGGGTAATTCATTGTACTGTTTCAAACTTTTCTCGAATTGGAAATGATTTCAAAATAAGCATTTAAAGAAAACTAGAGGTTGGGCATGGTGGCTCATGCCTGTAATTCCCACACTTTGGGAGGCCTAGGTGGGTGGACTGCTTGAGGCCAGGATATTAGGGAGAGCAGCCTCGGCAACATAGCGAGACCTTGTCTTTACAAAATACCTAAAAAATTAGGCACGGTGGCAAATGCCTGTAAGTCCCAGCTACTTGGGCGTCTGAGGCAAGAGAATTGCTTGAGCCCCAGAGACCGAGGCTGCAGTGAGTTGTGATTGCACCACTGCACTCCAGCCTGGGCAACAGAGTGAGACCCTGTCTCAAAACAACAACAAAAAAATGAGGCTGGATTGGTAGAGACAGTTTGGTAGACGAGGAGGGAAGCAGGAGATAATTGGGTGAGGGCGACCAGTGAGGGAGGCTGGAGGTGGCCAGGGTTCTGTGCCTTGTGGAGGTTGGGCGGCTAAGATGAACAGATGGGGAGGGAAGGAGGGAGGAGAACTTATGGGATTTTTTAGTCGAGCTGCTTGCAGAGGGGTAGGAGAGGCTGGGGACTGGGCATTCTTGTTTTGGATATGACCGGCGGGGCTGCTCTTGGCTCCCCAGCGTGAACCAGTCTGTGGACTGACCCAACTCCCACCCTGTCCTATACCTAGCCTTGCTTTCCAGCCAGACCCTCGACCAGCCCAGCTTTTCGGAGACTGGCTGGAGCTGTTCTCAGGACAGGTCTTGAGCCAGGCCAGGGCCTGCTGGGAGCCCTTGTCAGTGGCTAGTCAGGGCCGGGGTCCTTAAACACATCTGCTGCCTATCCGCAGAGACCCTGCAGGTGACTTGGGAGGAAGTCAAGGCCACTAAGTGGGAGCCACTCAAGCTCCTTGTTACCTCTCCCAGGCCACCGATGCACTCACCATTGCATGTGAGGTTTCTTCAGGAGATTAGGAAAGTATGGGACCCTCAGCCTGGGGGGAACCCTGGCTTCCCACATCCTCACCAACCATTTGACATGTTTCTGAGCCCTTTGAGGGTCAGTGGAGGCCCCTTGTAAGCCCCAGATAGAAAATGGCTCCATCTAGAGGCAGGACAGCCTCCAAGCTGAGGTGTGGATGTTGCTCCTCCAGTTAGTTACAGGGCACATGAGGACTTTCTAAACCTCAACTTTCTCATCTATAAAATGGGTTCATTAGAGCAAATGAATTCATTTGGTGGTTGTGAGGTTTGTTTTTGTTATTTTGTTAACTTTTTTTTTTTTTTTTTTTGAGACAGTGTCTT